AAGTGTTTTACAAAAGTCACCTTACTTTGTGAACATGCCTCGTACGAGCCTTTTAAAGGTACAGAGAGAGAGTGCAGAAGAAAGCTATTGGAAATAATAAACCTTACAATTAGTCAATATCCTCCAAGATGACGCAGGCATGTGTTTCCCCGTGACCATGCAAACACATCCTCCACCCCCCTGAGCAAATTATTTAGCACTTAGTAGTCTTAAGCAAAGTCCCTACGAGACTAACGGTAATATTTGACGTTATCGGTGCTGTAGGTTGGTAGCAGTGGTGTTCGCTAGCGACACGTAACGCCGTTTAAATACCCTGGAGAATTTTCCGCGATAAGAGACCCGCCGCGATCTCTCCCGTTTCCGCTTCCTATTCAGAAATTCGCCCCGGATATGACCAAATAAAATATTCAATTACCTGAAATAGTTGGCGAATAGAAATTCCACGTTTAAGGTTTCGCATAGTTAGCGCAAACAAGAAATTTTCCTCCGCAGAGAAGACGGGTGCATCCAGATAAAGGCGTGATTTATTGGACGATGTTTCGCCGGATAAGGGTTAACTATTGTTCCTTCTAATGACGTTTGCCGAAATGATAGGTGCAGCACGAGCGTGTTTTTATTTTCTTTGACATATCGATTATTACAATTAATAATATAAAAAAAAACTTGAAATAAGACGAACAAGTCAGTCAACGTTGAAGTTAATTTTGTCGCGAACTGCTGACTTAATTTGAATATATATATATATATATATATATATATATATATATATATATATATATATATATATATATATATATATATATATATATATATATATATATATATATATATATATATATATATATATATATATATATATATATATTTATTTATTTATTTATTTTAATTTGGACTTCGATCTTCAGAAACGATGAAAAACTCTTTTATTTCAATTATTTCAACGCCACATTCTGTGGGAATTTTCGTCCACAGCATCAGGTGTCTGTCTAAGTCTATGCATAGTCCGATCTTTTCTAAGCAAATTATTTTTCTATTCACTTCTTTATCTCAGTTGGAATTTCATGTCTAACGAATAAATTTTCCAGATTACAAGAAGAATTTCATAATTCCAGACCACAAGAATAGTACAAAATTATTTATGAGGTGAATATTGAGCCTTTGGACTGGCCTCCACGCAGTTATAATAGATATGCTTATTTATTTATAAGGAATTTCAACAGAATCTGATAAACGTCGAATATAAAACTGGGTTTTCCTTTAAACATGCCTAAATATGCATAAAACCTAAAGTCAAAAGAGTGCTAGTGCTTTGAGATTAGCACACATCTATGCTACATCAGGATAAATTTTTATATCAAGGTTCTCTGACCCTGACAAAAATGTTAAGTTTCTTTTCAGTTAGATTTTAACAATAATGCTTAAATTTTTAATTTTTGAGGATGTTTACAATACGTTTGCTAAGATCGCGGCATTTTCTATTTCATCAATATGAGTTCAACCCTTAGCTTATATGACCAAAAGTTCAGATAAATAGATGTTCTCAGTCACTTTGTTGTTTACAAAAGACAGATTTTTTTGTTAGTTTTAATGTTTTCATAGGAATACCAAAAGAAATATTTTTTGACAAAGTAGCATCAGGAAGAAAGGAATTATCGACTTTATCTGTTGGTGGTATTACTATTGGCCAGGAGTCAACTGTATATATATGCCGTATTAAATACGGGTTTTCTTTATTGTTCCTTTAGTCGGAATTGCAAGCAGGTACGCCCCTGGAGTTGTTAGCTGTTTTCGAAATCCTATTGGATCTCCTGATATCAACAACCAATTAGCTCTTTGACAGTTTTATCAGTCTAAGATTCCAATAAACCACAAACACACCTGGTACTACCACAGACATCTGAAGCCCACGATTCTCTGCTTTCTGTTAATAAAAATAGTTTCTAAGTTCATCCAGTCTAATGGTGGAGGCCTGCAGACTCGTAATTTTTAGCACTCTTAATTAAACGAAAAAGCGAACGTGGTCGTCGTGCATTATCAGGTACGCCTCCATGTTGCAAAGTCTTATTAATAATTGGCGGCAATCGGGCGCAGAGACAAAGCCTCGCAAAATAGGTGCCAAATTGGATTCACGTATATAAGAGCGAATAAGATTGAAGTCGTCAAGTTTGAAAGTAGTAGAGGGTGCGACGAACAAAGACGAATGGATACATTTACAAAATTAATCTTTGAAACAAAGCAAGCACTCTCCTCGGCCTTATTCATCAAAGCGGGGACTCATTTATTTGGTTTAGATTGAAATAGCGAAAATGTTACTTCCCGAGCTTCGGGCGCGTCGTCGTTAGACGTTTACCATTGTTATTACTTTACTTTGAAGACGACAAGTGGTAGAGCCGCCTGCATACAGGTTCACTTGGTAGAGTGAGCAGCATCGCTAATAGCTTACACATAAAAGTTTCCTCTCGTTTAGAAATGGATTTATCAAAATTGTGCCTCGTCTAGTGCTGCTCTTTCGTCCTCTTCCCACCTCTATCTCTGACTCTATGACAAGGTACAGGATAATATAGCAAAGACTAGCCTATATCAGGAATTATAGCCAAAAGGGCAAGTCTCTCTGCAACACTGCCTACAATGCATCTTGCAAGCAATTGAAGTTTCCTATTTATACTATACTTTTCTCGGATGCCCAAGTTATCATTGGAAAGAAAATGCAAACCAACCCAAAAATTAATTATTTTTTAGAGACCTTCGCACATAATCGTCAATAAATCTTTGAAAGGAGGTTACTTTCCTGAATATTGAAAACACTGCTATGTAAGGGGTGTTTTTTTTTCTCGACTTTTTCCAGAATTTGCGGCCGTATATCGGCAATAACACGACGAAGGTTGTCTTCCAAATGGTCAAGCGTTTGTGGGTTATCCGCATAGACCAATGACTTTACATAGCTCCACAGAAAGTAGTCTAGCGGTGTTAAATCACTAAATCACAAGATCTTGGAGGCCAATTCACAGGTCCAAAACGTGAAATTAGGCGGTCACCAAACGTGTCTTTCAATAAATCGACTGTGGCACGAGCTGTGTGACATGTTGCGCCGTCTTGCTGAAACCACATCTCCTGGGCATCATGGTTATTCAATTCAGGAATGAAAGAGTTAGTAATCATAGCTCTATACTGATCACCATTGACGAACACACTTCGAACACGAGCGCGAGCATTTTGGGGAAACTTCTGCAGGATTCCAGTCGGAGTTCAACAAGCGAACGGATGATATCCCGGAATATAGTGTCATCTCATTTTTCCATCCGTGAATCAATACATACATATATATATATATATATATATATATATATATATATATATATATATATATATATATATATATATATATATATATATATATATATATATATATATATATAACCGGTTTCTGTGTGTTCTGCTTTTGAAAATGTAATTACAATTTGGAAGTTAATGACGCGTTTCATTTGTTCGTCTTGCTGGGTAAATAAAAATTAAATGTCAATTATTCGACAGCTTTCAATTTTGTCCATTGCTGGTAAAAAATAGTTTTTTACTTGGATTGTTCTTATAAATTCCTATGTGTATTAATAAAACCTCGACGATCAGGTATTCGACTATTAGAAAACTTTCTACGATTCAGAAGTCTAGTGCGGACGGGACACGTGGTTACCGGCCTCGAAATTTTCGCGACGGTCCGACTTCCGTAACCGGGCGTTTTTCTCTCGTGGATGATGAAAAATGCGCCCGTCGCGCTTTAAAACTGGTAAAAAGTGGCCCATTACGGACCGGATAGGGGCGGGAAAACCCCGGCCGCTCGTAAAGTACGATTTTTCTACCCGGGTGAAAAATAGCCGGACACTCTCCGCCTAAGTGAATTTAAAGTGGAGCAGATTGTTTTACATTATTTAGTTGTCAGCGGGGCTAATTCGTTTTCGCCTGCGGAAAAGTAAATAATTGGCGAGAGAGGGGGGCGGAAAAATCTGACCGGTCGTTTTTCGTCGCCATCGTTTTGCGGCTTTTCGGTTCGTTCGCGAGCTCGTTTTGACCGACTGGTTTTCACGTCCCTTTCACCAACGTTTTACAAGCAATTACGAGCGACAAGATGTACGGGGTGTTTGACTAAATAAACGCTGGAATTTGTTTTTAAAAATTCCAGATTATCCGCTAAGATAATATAGTGGCGCTACTACTACTAAAAGTGATGTGCGGCAGGTGGCTATGATATTTTCGTAGAAAAGGTGTGGATGTTTTGCGCATGCGTTACGCCCCAACTAACTGAGTTGCCCCATTTCCGTTATTTTTCTGAAAAAATTGACTCATGTTCATAAGAACGCAAAATCATCCGAATCATCATGAAATCAGAATATAATTGGCAACGCCGAACTAGGAACCGCTACTGCCAGAGACTACTATTAGTCTGTGCGATTGTTGTTTACATTTTTGGTGGTTATGATTCTCCGCATACCTTTTTCGTGTTTTTGCGAAAAACTTGTTGTGTTTGTGGTCAAAACTGTAAGGAAAAGAACGTGCCTATTTTGCTATTTTTTAACTTAATTATCTCCCAATTTTGCGAAAATATCTATTGAAAAAACTCATACTCAGCATACCTGCTTCACATAGACGACATCATGATATCGCGAACTGAAAAAAATTATCTACAAAATCTTAAAAGATTAGCATAGCAACCAGTAAGTAAATTCTAGACTATTGGTAGGTTTGGCAGGTTCTGAGATATTCTATTTTCTGTTTCTATTCTACTCGGCTTCAAAAAAGTAAACAGGTCAGTCAAAGCGCAAATTAATAATAACTTTTTTGAATGGTAAACCAACTAACCAACACTAACTTTATTAATATTACTACTATATTGTAGATATAGATTTTGCAGTTTGTACAAGCGCTGAGCAAAGAGTTAATATTATATGACCACAAATAATTCAATCCAAAACTAACAGCCAATCGTTTAATTGACATTTCCGTTTCAGATTCCGTTACAACCGTCTCCGGCAGCAAAATCCAACCGCACACAAACAAAATCCAACTTTACCATGATGTGACGCTTCGAAAGAAAATCGGACTCAATTTTCACCATCGGTCGGATCCTGCTGCTCCAAAATGCATACGTTTCAATCCCACCCATAAAAGTTCGAAACAAAATGTTCGGAGTTTTTTTTTAAATCACGGAGCAGCAGGATTTCGACTGAAGAAACGCCCTTTTGGAAGTGAGTAAATTAAATATTCAATACTCGAGTTGTCAGATAGGTCATGTAGGAGAGTATAGTCAGTGTCGTCCTGGAAAATTCAAATTGCGCAGCTAGACACTAGAGCGATCTAGAATGATCTTTTTTTATGAAAAAAATTTAACGAACATTACTTTTCATTTCTGCATGTTTCAGAAGCATATAATAGGAAAAAAGATGTTATCCTTCCAAAGTACTTGTACAATGATTCCTTTAATATATTTGTTGTTGCTATTTGGTTACCGATCCTTATAAATGCAAAACCCGGTAATGATTAAGATTTTGAAGTTTATATTGAGGCGGAAATAAAACGAAACCTTTTTGCTGTATCAGCGGGATTAAATAAGAAATATTAAAAAAACGAGGTATTATAGAAAATGGCATAAAATCTTTCAATTCATACATTCAATTTTCATAACTTTTTAACTTTTATTGGGCCAGAAGGAAAAAATTTCTCAGAAATCGAAGAAGAAACTTTTTTTCTACATCAAAAATTGATATGTGAAATAAAAACTTTGCGCACTGCATGCTATTTTCACTATTCTGATTATCAGTCAAGAAAAAATCCAAGAAATTATTGATTTCCTATTAAATAGCACTATTTAAATTAAGACTAATTTGCACTAACTAATTCTGAAATATTTTGAATTTGTGCTCTTAGAGAGCAAGGCTTTAATACTAGACATAAAGTTATTTTAAAAATACACACATTAGAAAAAAAAACAATTAAAAGTAAATGCATCAATTTTTAAAAATTAATTTAACTTTAAAAAACTAAAAATTTTAATATTTTAAGATATTTGTCGAACAATTTTTTGTACTGATTTTGCTCTATTGCTTTACAACTAATTACAAATCTGTGTGCCAAGAAGTGCCAAACGCCGTAAAAAATGTTTTTTTAGGGATTATGTAAATAAATGCCGTCTGGTGCGAACGTAGCGTAGCCTAAGAAAATGTTAATGATTCCGAAAATTCTGGTCGATATCTGTACCTTTGTTAATTTTATTACAAATACATTTTATTTTTTATTTAAATAGAAATAAAACCATCTAATTAAAAATAAAGTTTGAAACATTATTATTATGATTTAAGAACAGATTTTTAAAAATATATTTGGACATAACCTAGGAATATTTAAGCTGGTTATTGAATTAATATGCTTTATAATAATAAGTACAACTTAAAGACAATAATTGACATATCTAAAGCAATTTTCAAGACATAAGTTCAGTTGAAAGTTAAGATTTGTATATTTGTATCTTTCTATGGTACCGCTTAAATTATCTATCAAATCAGGTGACCAAAACTAGACGGAAATACATTAATATCAATTGGTTTTCAGAAAACGACTCGGTCTGACAACAGCTTCTAATAAAAAAACAAAGAATGGAGAACAAAATGAAACAAACCTCGAAATAATAAATGCGAACACGAACCGAAAGAAGGAAGATATCAGATATGGGCGTCGGTGAACAATAAACGGATAATTCAGTATGACAAAGGCTCGGCCGTCAAGCGTGACATTTTCGCAGCTCGGAAGCATCGAAAAAACGACAGACAAAAAAATGGACGTCACCTGATACGTTCGGATTTGTTACCTGTCCGGGAAGTGGTTGTTATTTGTAGCTTCGTTGACTTTCTGATGAGTAAAACAGGTAGGTCGAGAAAAAAAATATATATTTAACGTTCCGACGTTATACGCCTCAACAAAAAGCATTACCCCATAGAAATTAAGCTATTCTTAACCTACAAATTATTCGTTAAAGTTCGTTAGAAAATCTTCTCTTTAACATTGATAGATAGATTATTTATTTGACTTTTTTACAATTCCATTATTCCCACAAAAAAAACAATTTGAATGAGCATTTGGGTTTAATCAAATTATGAATGAACTCTGATGGCCTAGTAGGAGTTTAATCCAACTTTTCCAATATTTTTTACGCTATTGTAGTAAAAAATATATTGAGTTCATCTTATTTTTGGATAACTACAGATAGTTTGGGTTTTTGAATGAAAAATCCTCGGGATTCTTTGTAATACTGCGAATCTTCGATGATTTTTCTGGCATGGCTTTGAGACTATCATTGGAGCAGTAGACCAGAAATTTCAGGCTTCATTTTTTTTCACGAAAAGAAAATACAGCAACTTTTGTTCTTCGATTTATTTTACCAAGGTAAATGGCAAATCATTAAAATTGTTTAGTACCAATCGTATTAAAATTTCTAGTAATTAATGAAGCTTATTATTTACTGGAGAATTCCAAATTATGAATACAATGTAATTTATGATCCGACTAACTATCGTTAAACCGATATTTATCTATGTTCGTAATAATATTAACTAAGCAGTTTCCGCAGCTGTTAGCTACTTTGGCGGGTTCCCGAATAATAGGCTCTAATCCAAATTGGCCAAAGTCATCCAACTTCAAATATTGAAATAAATTTTAAAATTGCCCAAAATGACTTTTTCGTTGCACTTAAAAATCAAAAAAAGTAGTGTTTTCCTGTTAATGCAGAAAAAATTCGTTGCTGCAGATTAGTACTAGTAATAATTTGATGTGGCTCATATTTTGAATTTAAGGAATTTGCGAAGGAAAAAGAACGGAAAAGTGTTTCAAAATTTTGAAATTTAAGGAAACGCATTTCTACTATCGAAAATTAAGAACAGGGTTGTCAGTTTGACTTTTTGTTTTTTATGATTTCCAAAATGCGTCTTTTTAATGTAAGAATTATTACTGACCACATCTAACAAAAAATTCATCCTTACTAATTACTAATTTGAATCAGAAATCAGAATCAGAATTTAAATAAAGATACAAATATGATTGTTTTAAATTTTCAATTTTTTTTTGCGAAAATTATTTTAAACAAAGTTCAAAAAATAAAGAGGTCAGTTAGAACATTTTTATAATTACAATCTTAACTTTTTTCTAATAAATATATTTTTATTTAGCGACTATGTTTTATATCAAAAATAACGAAAATTCCTTTTTTGTTTGTTCCAAACTCTCCATGCCGACTGGGGCATTAATAATGCTTATAATTTCAGATATTATTCTTACCGGGCCCGCCCACCACAAAAACCAGGAAATGTCCACCGTCGGATACCGAGAAAAAATTCACCCCTAAAAACCGGGCACCTCTTCGTCGACTACGGGCGTCCCCCCCCGCCCCTTCGCCGACTCCTACCCCGGCGAAAAACACCCCCCTCCTGCGCTCCTTAAACTTCTTTGCCGCCGCCGCCGCCGTAGAAGAGGGGAAACCCCGTAAGGGGGCAAGAACTGAAAACTGCGCAAATGGGGCCGCGGGGGGGAGAGACATAAGGAAGGGGCGAAGCGCTCGAGCTAAGGGTGTGGCTTGGAAGTAAGAAATCAATGACTGTAGCAGAATTCATCCCCCACCCTCCCGTGCTCCGGTTTTTCCTGCTACGATCGCGCCAAGACTGTACGGAACTTTAATGAAGGATTTATTTATTTATTAATATTTTTTATTCTGGATCCAATTACTTGCAGAAATTTTAAAAAAACACGAAAATTAGAGCGGAATCGTTCGCTCCTCAAAAGGCTCCAAGAAAGCTAGCGTTCCACCCCAAGATTGACTGCACAAAACCCGATTTTATTAAATTTCTTATTTATATAATTTAACTAACCAAAACTAGCCAAAATATTAAACACAGGCGCTTCTCACAGGCGTAATTCAAAAGTACAACTTCCAAACCGATCTAAACCTTCATTTCGAAAAGCTCTGCTCAAAAGTTTTTTTGCGAAAAATGCTACAGTCTTAACTTGCTCTCAAAAATATCTTCTTAGAACAAAAACGAGATACGTAACAAACAATTTTTTGATTAATTACAAAGCCCTCGTAATCGCATCAATTTCTTTACACAAATCCTAATAATTTCGAAGTCTTCCAAAATACTAAATTCGTTGAACGTCATTATAAAATTCACATTATCCAACATCCAATCATTTCTCTAAATCAGAGCTTAAGACGATGCGATTCATGAAAAAATAGCGTTTCTTACATAAATCTTAGCCTTGAATATCCTGGTTCATTGAAAAATCTAATTCATTCTTTAAATTTGGGCTTTATTATACCCAAATATGGGCTTTGTATTTGTAATCTCAGCTGTGGGCATCCAGGTTTATTCTAAAATATAATGTTTTACGCAAATCTAATCTAAACCTAAGTTTGGAAGCTGTGATAACGAAAAATCTCCTTTATTACATAAATCTGAGCTATGGAGTTCCGGTTTATTATAAAATTCAATTTATAACGCAAATCTCAACTTTGGAAATTCTGATTCATTGCAAAATTCTATTCTTACCTAAGCCTGAGCTATGAACGTTCAAAGTCACCGAAAATACCATTTACTACAGAAATCTGAACTATGGATTCTCCGGCTCATTATAAAATTCACATTATTACATATATCTGAACTTTGGATATACTGATTAGTTGCAACATCCAACATTTCTCTAAATCTGAGCTTCAAACCATGCGATTCATGAAAAAAGAGCGTTTCTTAAATAAATCTGAGCCTTGAATATCGTGGTTCATTGAAAAATCTAATTAATTGCCTTTGTACGGTTTATTGCATTAATCTCAGCTTTGGGCTTATGATTCGTGGCAAAATCCTCTCCCTTGGAAATTCTGGTTAATTGCAAAATTCTATTCTTACCTAATCCTGAACTTTGAACGTTCCAAGTCACCAAAAATACCATTTATTACATAAACCTGAACTATGAATATTCCGGCTCTTTACAAAATCCAATTTATTACGTAAATTTCAACTTTGGAAATTCTGATTCATTGCAAAATTCTGCTCTTACCTAATCCTGAGCTTTGAACGTTCCAAGTCACCAAAAATACCATTTATTACATAAACCTGAACTATGAATATTCCGGCTCGTTACAAAATCCAATTTATTACGTAAATTTCAACTTTGGAAATTCTGATTTATTGCAAAATTCTATTCTTACCTAATTCTGAGCTTTGAACGTTTCAAGTCGCCAAAAATACCATTTATTACATAAACCTGAACTATGAATATTCCGGCTCGTTACAAAATCCAATTTATTACGTAAATTTCAACTTTGGAAATTCTGATTCATTGCAAAATTCTGTTCTTACCTAAGCCTGAGGTTCGATCGTTCAAAATCACCAAAAATACCATTTATTACATCAATCTGAGCTATGAATATACCGACTCATTATAAAATCCAATTTGTTACGTAAATCCCAATTTCGAAAATTCTGATTCGTTGCAAAATCTTTTTGAGCTTTGGACGTTCAATTTATTACAAAAATTTGAGTTTCCGACATGCTTTATATTTGATTACATAAATATGAGATTAGACAGTGTGACACTAGTCACTTCGAAATCCACCAGGTGTCAGCCAATACCACCAAAACGTCAACCGAAGGAAAAGGGGATTCGCCGCCGCCGCCGCCCCTTTAACGCTCTTTTTACGTCAATTTCCACTAGATCGACGAATCGTGTCGACGTCAACTAATAATTCTTGTTCTTGGCACCATTCTTCTTCGAAGACAAACGAGCTTGTCCCACGCGCAGGCATCTTTTGTTTGTTCTATAGCGTCGTTCATTTGTCTAAAAGGTATTCCAAGGCGTATTGCGTTGAATAAAACATCCGGCTTCATCTTTAATTCTATGAATCTTAAATTTCGCCGCCCTGCCTGGTGGGCGTCAGCGGCGTACACTTCAGAAGTGGGAATTAGAATTACTCAAAAATAGAATAAAATCTAAATTCCGTTCTTAACATTTGCTAAAAGCTCGAAACTGAAATCAAAAACAATACAAAAACACACAGATTTGACATTGAAAAAAATTATTTAGTTGGTAATTACTAAAAAAAAAATCAGGCCTACTGTAAAAGAAAACGTTGACTTTGTGTGCTTTGCAGAAGTGTAAAAGATTGGTTCAGCAGTTAATTAATTGATATACTTTTACTTTACTTTTATTCAAAAAATTAATTCAAGCAATTAATACCGTTGAAAATTACTTTTACCAATTCCCAGTTACAAAATAATGGAAAAGTGAGATGCAATTTCTTTTCTGTTTTAAGGCAACTAAAAATTTTAAAAATGCCTTTACTAAACATTTTAAATAGTATTCAGTAACAAAATTAATGCAAAAGCATTAAAATCAGATCTACCGTTAAAGAAAACGTTGCCTTTGCGTGCATAAAAGTTGGGGTTCAAAAATTACTTTCGACAAATAATTAATTATACTGGACGTATCTTTGAAAAAGCTTTTAACTATTGACTGCAGTCGAAATTGTTAATTAGAAATTACTATCAAAAAACCACTAACAATTTAAAATTAATATTACGTTTATTCAAAAAAATAAGGGATGAAATTAATGCTATTAATAAATATTGTGCATTCCTAGCTAGGAAGTCGTGGAAAAATAAAATTCAACTCAAACAAACCCTTTATTCAAAATTTAAAAACTGCCTCCAAACAAACAAAATTGCATAAAAATCAATCGACTATTTCGCCAAACTACTTTTAGTTTTTCTGTTTTAAGGAATCTAATAATTTTGAAAATGTATTTTCTATAACGGAATATTTTAAATAGTTTTCACTAACAAAAAAAATGCAAAAATTAAGGCAAAATGCATTCAAATCAGGTTGACTTTGTGTGCTTTAAAGACTCCTCAAATGATTCAAAAAGTACTTTCAGCAACTAATTTATTCAACAATTAATTCATTAATATACCGGAAGTGTATTTCAAAAAGCTTTCAACTATTCATTGCATTCGAAATTGTTAATTCAAAATTGTTATCAAAAAATTAATAATAAGAATTAAAAATTTATATTACTGAAAAAATTAATACTGTTAAAAAATGCTGTGCTGGTTATCCTAGTTAGAAAATCGTGGGGAAAATTCAATTAAATTCAAATTCAAACGAATGCTCTAATCAAAGTTTAAAAAGTGCTTCCAAGCAAAGAAAATTGCAAAATAATCAATCGAATACTTCGCCAATCTACTTCTACTTTTTCTGTTTTCAAGCAATAGAACATTTGAAAAATGTCTTCTCTGCAACGGAACATTTTAAATAGCATTTAGTGGCAAAATTTTATTTAAATACCGTTCAGCTCAAATATTCTTAGCGGCAGCAAAATTAATTGAAAACATTTCCAGCAACACAGTGGAGCCCCAGTAAGATTTTTATACAAGCCACAATCGTTATTTTTTATAATAAGAAAGTTAAAAGGAAATTGCAAGTATTTTAGGTTTATGTCAACGTCTACCGAGAAAATATGAAGCCACAGCCTAAAATTCAAAACCAAATTTTTCTTATTTCAGGAAAAACGGCTACAGTTTGAATGTTTCCTTTGATTAAAAAAATGTTCAATATTCAGTAGGTTTATTAGTATCTTGATAAGAAATATTTTCGAAAAAAAATTCCTGCATAAAACCACTGATATTTTTAGCAGCAAACAAATCAATAAATTACATAATTTAATTTTACAAATTCTTGCGCTGAAAATTAATTTTCCTAAACCGCGATTAAAAAAAATCGTGATAATCATCGCCTCGAAAATCGCGTTTCCAGCCCGCATCTCAAAGCCAATCAAAATAAATCCCCGCCGACAAATTTCGAAACGCCAAACGAATTTATTTATATTATCTGTCCGAAACTTGATGTTATGTATGGCCCAATAAAGCGGAAAATTTTAACGGGAATTTATCACTGGCGAATATTTTTGCTTGACGTTTATTGCGCTGGTTATACGGCGGATAAATCATCAGCCCGGTCGATACTCGCGACAAAATTAAATTCAACAATTCACTCTATAATATAAAATCCCATTCCGATTCGCCGTCGGCGCCGTTTTTCTCCGTAATTCTAAATCCCACTTCTGATGTTTCGCGCGAAGGTGACGATAGGCCCTCGTCTTTTTCCGGCAGAGGTTTTTTTTTATTCCAAAAGTACGTTAGGTTCGCATTCTTATTAGCCCTAATCCCGATGACGCTAATTAAAATGGCCGCGGTTAAAACAACAACCAATCATCCCGTAACGCTCAAACCAATATTTTGATTTCGAAGACGATAGATCAATCCGAAATTCTAATTGCGCAATTAATAATCGGAATTGGAAATTGTTTAATTGAATTTAAATTAAATCGTAGCGGTAAAAAAAACAAATGATCGAATCAAAAACGACCCA